AAAAAAAAAAAAACGGTAATCTGGTTGCCGAGTTCACGACGTGAATTGGCTTGGTTTACAACGTCTTTGCCAAGCGACGAAAACCCACTCCCGATGGCAAACACCGGGGGGGGGCGGCTTGTTTTACAACGTCGTTGCCAAGCGACGAAAACCCAACCCCGATGGCAAACACCGGGAGGCGGGAGGATAAATCGTATTTGACCGATGTCGGAACAAGAAGCGGCAGCAAAGGCAGCAGCTGCGGAGAGGGCAGCAGCGGCGGCGAGGGAGGTAGAGGAATTGAGGAAGAAAGTTCAACTAGGGATGGACATGATCGCTGCGCTAGAGAGTGCTGGGAAGGCAGCAGGTGGTCAAGCTGGGTGGGCAGCTGGAGGAGGTGCGCATGCCGGGGGTTGGCCCGGCAGTGGAATTGGATACTATTTTGAGACAAGGACGGGGATTGAACCAAACCGATTTCTTGCAGAGAGAGAGGGGAAGAAGCCCCATTTGTGGTACGGCGTACACCAGCAGTAGGTGACGAGAGGAGTGCAGCAGCAGAGCAGCCGCCACAACCATGTCCTTGCAGGGCATAGCCAGTACCAGCAGTAGGAGCAGCTGGTGCCCAACAAACGCCCACGCCCTCCCGCTGCTCCCCCTCCCGAGCAGCAGCAGCACCGTAGTCTGCTAGACTACTNGCAGGGCATAGCCAGTACCAGCAGTAGGAGCAGCTGGTGCCCAACAAACGCCCACGCCCTCCCGCTGCTCCCCCTCCCGAGCAGCAGCAGCACCGTAGTCTGCTAGACTACTGTTGCTGCAGCACGTCCTTTCGACTACGGCAGGAATGCCGTCTGGCCTCAGTCCCGAACCCCTGTCCCATAGGGGTCACCTGTTCCCACGTGCAACAGTTGTGAACTCCTTGGGCACGTCGCTATCATCTGCATGGCGCCAGCTCGCTATTACAGAGAATGAAGCTGCTGTGGAGAGAAAGGTCATGTACATCATCAGTATTGCAAGTTCAACCTCGTTCGCGGACCGTTTCAGCAGCAGCGGAGGAATGGTGGCTTTGGCGGTGGGTCTGTGTTCCAGCAGCAGCAGCAACAGCAGCAGCAACAGCAGCAGAAGCCAGACGTGGTGTATGGCAGCGCTGGCGGGTTTCAGCAGCAGCCGCGGCAACAGCAGCTGGCGGCCGGCTGCACCGGCGGTGTGATTGAACAGGTGAGTGGTGGGGTGTCTGTTGGCGAGAAGTGGGGCAGCTGCTGCCGGTTCGTTTGCGGCGTCTTTGCCGGTAAAAGTTCCCGCCAACGTAGCTTTTCCCAGCGCAGTTACGCTCCCCGCCACTCATTCTCCCCCGCGACCTACGCCATCACGTCTAGCACGTGCAGTAGCGCGGAAACGCGCAGAGCTGGATCTCATGAAGGCCGGGTACGGTAGAAGTGTAGCAATGCGGCAGATCGTACCGTACCGCGTTGTTGTAGGTTCATGATTCCAGACGCAACACCAGCGAGAATGCGTGGATGTTTTTCTGGTGTATGCAGGGCATGTTTCAGCTGCGGGGCTATTTCGTCCACTTTGATGTTTTTAATCTTCTGTTGATTGAAAATAAGAGAAAGAAAGCGCAGGCAGATCTACATGTATGTTTCGGGGAAATGTTTAGCTCGGGGGCTGTTTCGTATTGATGTTGGTTTTTGATATTATTGTCTTATTTCAAAACCAGTGAGAAGGGAGAGGTACAGAATTGTATGTTTCGGGAGGTGTTGCAGCAGGGAGCTGTTTGCATGGACATTTGCTTATGCTTTCTATTGTCTCTTGGACAACAGCTGAGGCACCGATAGCTTGTGCGCGCTGTTTAGGATTTGGTCCTCGGACGCTACATTGGAGGAAGGGTTTGACATGCTTCGACGAGTATGTCGAGGAAAACTGTTACAACGTAGTCAGGCACAGTTTACCATAGGTGCGACTGCGGCAACTAGC